CCATTTACAAATGAAAATATAAGATCATTGGAAAAAGTACAGAGATGGGTGGCAAGGTATGTGTGTAACAAACATCACAACACCAGCAGTGTGTCTCAGATGTTAGACACCATGAATTAATAAACATTACAAAAACACTGACTAAGAACAAGGCTTATAATGTTTCACAAAATTGTAAATGAAAATATTGTCATTCCATGGCATAATTTATGACAGCAGAGTCAGTCTACTACAAGATCCACCCATAAATAATCCTACAGATAAATTCAATGTAATAAAGACAGCTATAAATTTTCTTTCTTCTTTCAAACCATTAAAGACTGGAACAAATTATCATCTGATATTACTAAAAACACTACTACAGAAACCTTCAAGGGTGCACTCCATCACCCACAATGTGCTCCTTGATACTTACCCACATCTTAAATAAACAGACAATCTTGTTTTTATCTTCCATTGTCTTAAACCAAATAAAATAAAAATAAAAAATGTAATAATTTATTAAAAAACTGAATAAAAAATGTATAAAAACTAAAAACAAAGAAAAATTGTAAAAATTGAAAATATGAAACTATAGAACCAAACAAAAAGTAATAATAACAACATTCAACTAAAAATTTTGTTAATCTATTTTTTGAAAAGAAAAATTTCCTTATCAATTTATATGGAAACATTTACCAGGCATGTGCCAGAAAGTGAACATCAGTATGTCGATTGTTTTTTGTAACGAAAGAAGAAGACTGAAAATTGATACCCGTTTTGGGGTATAATACCCATAAATGAGGATAGTACCCATTTATGAGGATCCTCCCAAACCTGTCAAAGATTGTCCCGCTACTATTAAATAAAACACTTTTTTTTTATAGTTGCCCAATGATCTTTGAGATGCCCCTATACCTTATTATTGATAGAATTTCTGATTTTGTGTAAAATAAAAAGTAAATAAAATATGTTATACAGAAATGAGGTCAACCACTGAATAACTGACTCCAGTCCTGAATTTAGACAGAATGTGCATGGGTTAAACATGCTTGTGAGCTTTCAACCCTCCCCTATCGTGTGACCGGTGTTACAGTACAACATAAAAACATGCTATAAAAATAAAGAGCTGCGCCATGAGCACATGATACGCCCGTTGCTTTTTCAAAGAATAAAGTTTCATAACTCCTCAATGTCATTTCAGAAATTTATAAAAAAAAAAACATAAAGGAGGTTATTTCAATATATATAAACCAGTCACCAAAGTTTCATGAAAACTGGTCAAAGCACTTTTGAGTCATTGTCTGAAAACTGGAAAATCCCCCTTTTTTAATGAATAAAACCCCATAACTCGGAAACGTAAAATCTAAAATTTATAAAATGGAGCTCAAGTCAATTGATATAAACAATTCACCAAAGTTTCATGAAAACTGGTCAAAGCATTTTTGAGTTATTGTCTGAAAACTGGATAACCCCCTTTTTAGCTCACCTGGCCCGAATGGCCAAGTGAGCTTTTCTCATCACTTGGCGTCAGTCATCCGGAGTCGGCGTTAACTTTTTACATTTTGAACTTCTTCTAGAGAACCACTGAATGGAATAAAACCAAACATGGCATGAATGTTCCTTATGAGGTGCTGACCAAGTGTTGTTACTTTGTAGCGGATCCATCATCCAAGATGGCCGCCAGCGGGGGACTTAGTTTAACATAGGACCTTATGGGAAATACATACAAATGTCTTCTTTTAGAGAACCACTGAATGGAATGAAACCAAACATGGCATGAATGTTTCTTATGAGGTGCTGACCGAGTGTTGTTACTTTGAAGTCGATCCATAATCCAAGATGGCCGCCAGCGGGGGACTTAGTTTAACATAGGACCCTATGGGAAATACATACAAATGTCTTCTTTTAGAGAACCACTGAATGAAATGAAACCAAACATGGTATGAATGTTCCTTATGAGGTGCTGACCGAGTGTTGTTACTTTGAAGCCGATCCATAATCCAAGATGGCCGCCAGCGGGGGACTTAGTTTAACATGGGACCCTATGGGAAATACATACAAATGTCTTCTTTTAGAGAACCACTGAATGGAATGAAACCAAACATGGCATGAATGTTCCTTATGAGGTGCTGACCAAGTGTTGTTACTAGGAAGCTGATCCATAATCCAAGATGGCCACCAGCGGGGGACTTAGTTTAACATTGGACCCTATGGGAAATACATACAAATGTCTTCTTTTAGAGAACCACTGAATGGAATGAAACCAAACATGGCATGAATGTTTCTTATGAGGTGCTGACAGAGTGTTGTTACTTTGAAGCCGATCCATAATCCAAGATGGCCGCCTGCAGGGGACTTAGTTTAACATGGGCCCTATGAGAAATACATACAAATGTCTTCTTTTAGAGAACCACTGAATGGAATGAAACCAAACATGGCATGAATGTTCCTTATGAGGTGCTGACCGAGTGTTGTTACTTTGAAGCCGATCCATAATCCAAGATGGCTGCCAGCGGGGGACTTAGTTTAACATGGGACCCTATGGGAAATACATACAAACGTCTTCTTTTAGAGAACCACTGAATGGAATGAAACCAAACATGGCAAGAATGTTCCTTATGAGGTGCTGACCAAGTGTTGTTACTTTGAAGCTGATCCATCATCCAAGATGGCAGCCAGCGGGGGACTTAGTTTAACATAGGACCCTATGGGAAATACATACAAATGTCTTCTTTTAGAGAACCACTGAATGGAATGAAACCAAACATGGCATGAATGTTCCTTATGGGGTGCTGACCAAGTGTTGTTACTATGAAGCCGATCCATAATCTAAGATGGCCGCCAGCGGAGGACTTAGTTTAACATAGGACCCTATGGGAAATACATACAAATGTTTTCTTTTAGAGAACCATTGAATGGAATGAAACCAAACATGGCATGCATGTTCCTTTTGAGGTGCTGACCAAGTGTTGTTACTTTGAAGCTGATCCTTCATCCATGATGGCTGCCAGATGGGGACAATGTTTAACAAAGGACCCTATGGACAATACATACAAATGTCTTCTTTTAGAGAACCACATACTGAATGGATTGAAACCAAACATGGCATGAATGTTCCTTATGAGGTGCTGACTAAGTTTTGTTACTTTGAAGCTGATCCTTCATCCATGATGGCTGCCAATGGTGGGACTTCCTTTAACATAAGACCCTATGGGAAATACATACAAATGCTTCTTCTAGAGGTGCACTGAATGGAATGAAACCAAAACATGGCATAAATGTTTCTTATGAGGTGCTGATTAAGTGTTGCTACTTTGTTGCCGATTTACTGTTCAAGATGGCCACCAGGATTTTTTATTAAATTACAGGACCAATATTAAACCAAATTTGGCCTCACTCATTATTAGGGTATCTGTTATGATTTTAATCTATTTTTACATGATTTCCAAAACCAAAGTAGAATCAGGTGAGCGACACAGGCTCTTGAGAGCCTCTAGTTTAATTAACAAAACCCTATAAATCGGAAATATTACATCTAAAATTTATTAAAATCAAAAAGGAGCTCAAGTCAATAAATATAAACAATTCGCCAAAGTTTCATGAAAACTGCTCAAAGCATTTTTGAGTTATTGTCAGAAAACTGGAAAATCACCCTTTTTTAATGAATAAAACCTCATAACTCTGAAACGTAAAATTGAAAATTTATAAAAATCAAAAGGGAGCTCAAGTCAATTGATATGAACAATTCACCAAAGTTTCATGAAAACTGCTCAAAGCATTTTTGAGTTATTGTCAGAAAACTGGAAAATCCTCCTGTTTTAATGAATAAAACCCCAGAAGTCGGAAATGTAAAATCTTAAATTTATAAAAATCGAAAGGGAGCTCATGTCAATAGATATAAACAATTCACCAAAGTTTCATGCAAATTGGTTAAAGTGTTTTTGAGTTATTGTCCGACATGTTGACGACGGACAGATGGACGGACAATGGTATACCATAATACGTCCCATAAATGGGCGTATAAAAAATCAGTTTCACTTTGAAAAGGTTTAAAAAAAAGTCTCATCAGGTCAACGACAGTGATCCCACACTAAGCACAAAAAAAAAAAACAAGGTTCATTGTACCAATTTAAGTAACATAATTATTATGAAATGCATCTAAATAAATTGTTTTAAAAAAACATGAATAGTTGAACACCATAAACTTAAATTGGTATAAATGGGAAAAGTTGTATATATTACATTTTTTTTATCATCCATGTAACAGTCATGATCTTATTTTGTTTCCAAATGCACATTTATCTAAACAAATTACTCAACCTGAATTGTTAAGAAACTGTTGAGTAGGGAAGAGTCATCTTTCTTTGACTTATCTGTACATGTGTTAACCAATTTTCATGTTACTGTAATCATCAATTCCTCTGATTCACTTATTAGGGTCTGAATGGTGTCAAAAGAATAGATGAGAATAAATTAATGAGTTAAGCAATATTAAATGAAGAAAAATGTCCTGAGAATACAGAAATCAAAACCACCTTCCAGACTTTCACTGATCACTGGACTATTTAAAATTAATCCAATTTAACTGCACTTATATTTTAGTGTCCCACTTTTTTGGTAAATTGTTTTTCTTTTATGTATATATAGAACCCTTTCATCAATTTCTTTTATGATAAGTCTACCTGATCAATTTACCATTTAGTAAGCAGCCTTGGAAACATGACTAAAACCACAAAAGTAATATGGTTAAAAATCAAATTCAAATTAAAAAAAAAGAAATATATTTATATGTATAGTGGAAATATGGATTCATAAACTTGTTTCAAGTGGATTATAAGATTTATTCAAATGAGATAGTTAAATTATCGAGTTTTTAATCATAAGCCTCTAACACATTGTAACAGTTACTGCTTCTGTAAGATGTTCCAGTGTTTAGTAGATTTAGTACCTTTCTTCACTTAGTTTCTTTAATCAACCTAATTAACAGAACAGAAATAAGAATTAAAGTGAATGCAATGTTTTCTAGGTTCATTTTTAATCATATTTCACTTTACAAAAGCAAGTAAATTGCTAGTTGGCAAATTTTGTACCCAATCCATCTGGGAATACGAAGTCTGGCAGCAACACCTGCAAAGAAGTTACACGTTGCAGTTTCGTATCTGTTGAGTCTATCAGCCACTCCTTCTATAACATTTGTAATCTTGTTTGCACTCAGACGACCTCCAGTCCAGGATTCAAGTCGTTTCACAGCTCGTCTTGCCACTGATCCGTTTCTTCTCAGTTCTTTTGCCAGTTTTTTCAACACTATTTTGGTTAGTCTTACTTTACCCCATCTGAAAATGAAAAACAAATTTTTAGAATATTTTATTTTTTATACGCCCGTTCACGGGACATACCAGTATTATGGTAAACAGTTGTCTGTATGTCCGTCCTACTTCCACATTTCAGATAATAACTCAAAAACGCTTGAACTAATTTTCATGAAACTTTGGTGAATTGTTTATATCTATTGACGTAAGCTCCTTTCAATTTTTATAAATTTTAGATTTTATGTTTCTGAGTTAACTTATTCATAAAAAAGGGGGATTTTCCAGTTTTTGGACTAACTCAAAAATGCTTTGAGCAGTTTTCGTTTTCATGAAACTTTGCAGTCAGGATTCTACTTCGTCAAAATTATCTCCCCATTACGCCACATAATTTTTATAATCGTAAAAATGGAAGCCATTGTAGTGATGACGCGCTGCCAATTTAGCTCTTGAAAACCGATAAATTTATCCACATAGTATCATTACAATCCTTATATGCCAGTTGTATTTTAAAAGAAAAATGTATCTACTATCTATTGAGCATCATTTAATGTACTTTTATGCATTTGGTCAACTTAAAACTATTGTTTGATCGGTTGTCAGGGGGAATTTTCGAAAGTTCAAATATTTAAAAAAATTCTAATTAAATATTTTGTGGAAGGGCACACTAAAAATTTTCAGAGGTTGAAGACTGAAACCCTAAACACACTAAAAAAATGAACTTTTTTTGAAGTTATGCATTTTTGTCGAGCCTGCGACTTTTGTCGCAAAAGGGAGACATAGCGATCCTACATTTCGTCATCGTTGGCAGCGGCGGCGGCGTCAACAAATATTCACTCTGTGGTTAAAGTTTTTTCAAATTTTGATAACTTTCTTAAACTATCCTGGATTTGTACCACACTTGGACAGAAGCTTGTTTGTGATCATAAGATAGTATTCAAAAGTAAATTTTGTTAAAAAAAATCCTGTTTATCCGTATTTTACTTTTAAATGGACTTAGTTTTTCTGCCAGTTAACATTACATTCACTCTGTGGTTAAAGCTTTCAAAATTTTAATAACCTTCTTAAACTATCCTGGATTTGTACCAAACTTGGACAGAAGCTTGTTTCATAATGATCAAAAGCTAGTAACTAGAAGGAAATTTTGTAAAAATTTATTTCCTGTTTTTCCGTATATTACTTATAAATGGACTTAGTTTTATTCCAGTTAACATTACGTACAGTCTGCAGTTAAAGTTTTTAAAACATTTATTAGATTCATAAACCTTCTTGGATTTTTACCAAACTTGAACAGAACTTCTTACAATCAAAAGATAGTATCTAGAGGAAAATTTTTAATAATTTTGTCCCCATGTTTGTTGAGCCTGTGACTAACAGCAAAAGTAGGCGAGACACTGGGTTCCGCGGAACCCTAACGAATTTTTAAGATCCACCAGAAAAGTTTGTCATCAAGTACTTTTAGTAAAAAAATTGTTATTTGAACACACCTACTCTGTTGTTATGACTCATTAGAAAGGTATTTCACTTGACCCATATATTTCATCTTTTAGTACTGTAAATGTTTAAGGTTTTTGTATCAACCTACAGCCTAAATATATAAAAGTAATAGAATCTGAAGCGAGATGATGTATCAAATATTTTTCTTATATATATACATTTTCAAGACAGAATAGTCAACTCAAAACACGCCTGAACCTAAAAAGATGTGCTCGACTTTGTCTTTTTGATGAATTATTGCCTATTTTGGGGATTTTTTCACCAGGGGCAGAGATGCAAATTAATGCTATAAAAAGATAAATCTATAAATCTTTCTTTCGAATTTTTTTCGGCGGAATTTATGCATATGCACAAAAAAGATCCACGTGAATTTGCACCTACCAAAATCGACCTATTTGTGAAAATTTTTCTTTATTTTAAAAGTTTACAAATATCTCGAAGCTCATTTCAATAATTTAAGTAAAAACACATACATTAGATGCATAAAATCCTAAATTAGGCACATTCATTAAACTTTTAAAGCCCATAGAAACAGATGTAAACAATTCAAATTTACTAACTTTGCCTTTTTTACCTTCTCTAACAAAGAGTTCCATTTCTTTTGTTTAATTTCAGCTGGGTTTCAGCTTGTTTGGTGACTGGTTTATAGATATAAGAAGATGTGGTATGAGTGCCAATGAGACAATATCTATTAGAATAAGCTCCTTTTAGTTTTTATTATAAATCTCTGATATGACAGTAAGTGAACTTTATTTGTTGAAAAAGCGACGGGCGTATCATACTTTCATGGCACAGCTCTTTATTTATCCTTCACCTACCTTAACTTTGAGAACAATATCTAATTAGTAACTGTACTGTTTTTTATATTAAAACAACATAATAACATGAGTTCATGGTCTATTATTCAGAATAAAATTGAGAATGGAAATGGGGAATATGTCAAAGAGACAACAACCCGACCAAAGAGCACACAACAGCCAAAGGCCACCAATGGGTCTTTAATGCAAAGAGACAATCCCGCACCCGGAGGTGGTCCTCAGCCGGCCCCTAAATAAAAATGTGTACTAGTTCAGTGAAAATGGACATCACACTAAACTCCAAAACATATATAAATGAACTAATATTAAAAAACATACAAGACTAACAAAGGCTCATGGCTCCTGATTCAATGTTTTGTGAGATCTCAACCCTCCCCCTATACCTCTAGCCAATGTAGAAAAAAGAAACACACAGCAATATGCACAGTAAAACTCAGTTAAAAAGAAGTCCGAGTCCGATGTCAAAATAGGTAACAAAAATATGTATTTAATTTCTGTTAATGAGTTTAAAATTTATTTTTGCTTTTATTAGATAAAAATTACATGTACGTCTTTTAGTATGTAATGAGAAATGCTGTACCTCAGACCAGCATGTAAATTTTACCTCTTCTCTATTTTATGGTCGTTCTCTTCTAGATCCCTTTCATCAATGTCATTTATTTCATCCAAATCGTCTTCATCTGTTAAAGCAGTTCTTTTTTGGTCAGTCTCTCCTAATTCCTTTTCATCAATGTCATTTATAGATTCCAAATCGTCTTCATCCAGTAAAGCAGCTCTCTTATGGTAGGTCTCTCCTAATTCACTTTCATCAATGTCATTTATAGATTCCAAATCATCTTCTTCAGGTAAAGCAGTTCCATAAGATGTTGATAAGATGCACAAAACAAGGACGCACCTGGAGAGAAGAAAACGTAAAAACTGGAACACCTTCATATACAGATTTGAAATGAAGGTAATTTTTATGTAGAGTGTTGTTTTTGTCATAGATATAAGAAGATGTGGTATGAGTGCCAATGAGACAATATCTTGATGAAGTAGCTGAGGCAAAACTTACAAGTGCTGTCTCCTCGCTTCATACAAAATATGCTTTTGTCAATGCTTTTACACCCCAATAACATTATAAATAGAAGGATTCAATTCTTAAATATTTTTTCAATATATATATATATATACATGTATATGGATAAATGCATGGACATAAAAGGAACGATAACAAATAACAAATTAAAAAGAACCAAATTTAAGCAAACTTTTAAATCATTTTATATGCAGGAAAGATCAGTGTGTTTAAATTTCTAAATGCCAAATTGTTTATACTAGAATAACAAGAGTATAATCTTCTAAAAAATGAAGTTCAACCAAAATGCATACTTTGTGATTGCAAATTTACCATTTAAGCAAGAAATTATTTGAATCTGCAATAATTTTGAATTCTGGAAAATTGATAAGAAATGTATGATGAAAACTAACCCAACTTAATAGGATTAGCCATGAGGTTCAGTTTACTTTCACTGATATTTCAGTACTAACCCCTTTTGCTATGTGGGCATGGCTAACCCTATTTAGATGGGTTAGTTTTCATCATACATTTCTTATCAATTTTCCAGAATTCAAAATTTCTCCAGATTCAAATAGTTCCTTGTTTTAAACATGTTTTAATTAAATATTTTTACTTTGCCGATATATAAAAGAATTAGCATTTAAATGTCAATAATATGTATGATTTATTTGATAGTATTCCAGTTACCAAATTGTTTCATTTTCAAAAGAAATTGGAATATAAAATATGAATAAGCTGCTTTTGAGTGAGTTTAAATGATGTTAAATTTTATCACATAGTCTAAGTCAATGTTAGTGTTTTAATTTTATCAGTCACTTTATTAAATGTTGCAGTACTGTGACCTATAGTTACTTACATGCACGACAATTGGTCTCTGCTTGAAAGTATTATACCACATCGATCTGCTTATTATTATACAAGAACTATATTTTTCCTATCTGAGTAAGAACTATATAAAAATAATTTAAATAAGGTCTTTTTTTTAGGTTTATTTATAAGACAGTTCTAAATAAAACCAAATAGCCACAAAATGAACATAACCCAAAAAACGTTTAACTGATCTTCTTTAAAGTGTAATACAATTATAAAACTTACCAAACAAGTTTCATGTTTTGTTAGTTACAGGAACTGAATTGTCTCTTCCCTTTGAAATCAGAACTGGATAGTAGCGAAAGTCGATACTTTTATCTAAAAGTACCATCCAAATGCTAGACAACACCTGTTATTTGTAAGTATTATGTTTTTTTTTTTGTTTCAAGGAAAAATTGTTTTTTGTTTTCCTGTTAATTGATCTTTTGTTTACACTTTTTCCTTGTTTAACTTATTTTAAAAATTCAATCAATTATTGACATGTTTTTAAGTTCTACAGTTGGAACAATGCTTGGCAGAAAAGCCTTTTTATTTCAGATTTGAAATAAAATGATTTTGGTCAGCCTTGTTTATGTATTCTAGAAAAAGAAACTATGGTTTGTTACAACATAGCACTTCTAATTTTATAATAGGTTTAATAGAAGTTGATGTATTGAGTAGTTTGGCTATTTTTAAAAGCTTCAAAAAATTTTGATAAACCATAGAAAGCTCAAGGACTAATAAAAATTTTTTTCATAACCTATTTTCTTATGTAATTTAGAAAAAGAAACTATGTTATTTCACTTTGTCATTTTATACAAAAAATAGATATTCTTAACACACTAAATTGAACTTTCATCAGGTAAATTTATATGACTTTATAAAACATCATTAGCATTGCGAAAATCGTGTCCAAATTGGTCAAAGTTTATTCTTTAGTTCAATTGATTGATTGTTTGTATTTAATGCCACTTTCAGCACTATTGGCTATTTTGTGGTGGTTAAGGCTTTATCGTTTAAGACTTTAGAGGGAGAGGAGCACCAACCTTACGCAGGAAAACTGACGATCTTAGTCAATTAAGGTTGGAGTCAAACACACCTGCCACATGCAGGGTTAGTACTCTCAACCACAGTCTTGACAGGCTAGTGATACAGTACAGTGATACTAAATTAACTGATTGGGAATCAAGGCCCCTGGTTCTTTAGATAGTATTCTTTTTAAATCGTTGGTTCATTGTTATATAACTTTGTTTAACATATTTATGCTCATTTTACCATTGTCCATGCAGATGTGATTGCAGTGAACATGGAAAAACAAAAAGCTTTTAAGAATTAAAATAACTAAAATATGACATGTCGAATGCATTCTAGGAAAAAGGTGTTCACTGAAATATATTGATTTTTGTTGTATCCAGATTTTTTCAAGGAAAACAGAATTTGATCCAAGTCAATGTTTTTAACTTGTTTTGCCAAATAATATTGGTCTAGATATTATTAAGCATATTATTTCTCACAAATACATAAAGATATATTATTTTTAATATATTTTTTGGCAAAAATTTATAAAATTCAATAATGAGGTTTGCGACATGTAAATTTATTTTAGTATTTTAAATCTGAATAATATTCATAGCAATGTATTTTAAAATTAAGAAAATCTCAGCTTAAAACAAATCTGGTTCATTGTGAATTATGGTCTTTAGCAGTATAATTTAATATGCCCTTGTGGATTGTAGGCTTAGGTTTGACCATGAACAGACATTAGCCCATCCATTAGCAATGAAAATTACATATCATTTACTGCGACAAAAAACTTGATTAATTGGATTTAAAAGCTTGGGAGAGAGAAAAAGAAAGTCCCAGGTTCATCTTCAAATATGACCTACAGTTTAATTTCGCGTATACATAGATAAGTACATTAATTTCATTGTGATTACGTTTCAAATTCAAATTCGACCAAGATTTCAGTCTGCTGATACTCACAGGTGAAAATAGAAATGATATTTACATTGGAAACCTTCAGGATATGAAAATTTAGATATGCAAAAGCTTCTACATAATTTTATGTAATTACTGTATTTTACACTGCAGAAAATAGCCGAACCTAGCAATTTATAGCACGTCAAGGTGATTGTTATCACCATCTGTGGGAAGTAGACAATTATTCAGAAGTATATATTATTTCGGCTGTATAGCTATTTCATGGTTTTTAAGGTAGAAATTAAATATTTGAAAAGATTTTTATTTGACTTGTTTAATTTGAATCGGCAAATTTTCATCAACCCATAGTGATAACTGAATGGGGTAAAATAATTATAGGACTTTGTATGATTCAAAGAATAAAATTTGTGAAGTTAATTTTTTTTATTTGCCTCGTTGGGTTTTGAAATTATATCTATTAAAACACCCATCATGATAATGGACCATGCAGACAGGTGAAATTCTTGAGGGATTTCATGAGTTTCATATTTTGTAAAGTAAAAGATTTAGTAAGGGGATGACTATTGTATATGCTGGAAAGGGGAGATAACTTTTCCCAAGACAGGATAAAAAATCAATATCGGCCCAACAAAAGGCAGGATAAAGCTTGATTTACTAATGTTTATAAAAGTAAAAATACATTTTACAATAGAGAAAATAAGTAAATTATTTTAGATTAGTTAATGTTTTAACTACCATAGCTTAAAGACAAAGTTAAGTGTAATTATTGAAAGGTTAATCTTAAAACAAACAATTTTGATTTCATATTTTAATAAATACACCTTATTAAATCAGATTTCCTTTTAACACATTTTAAAACATAGGGGGAGGGATGTATTATTTTTGTGTTTTTTTTTATGTCCCACCTAGGGGCATTATGTTTTTTGGTCTGTGTGTCCGTCCGTTCGTCCCGCTTCAGGTTAAACTTTTTGGTCAAGGTAGTTTTTGATGAAGTTGAAGACCAATCAACTTGAAACTTAGTACACATGTAGAGTTTTTACCCCAATTTCATGCTCCACTGAACATAGAAAATGATAGTGCGAGTGGGGCATCTGTGTACTATGGACACATTCTTGTTTTAACTTATTAAGGTATTGCATACGTTTAGCTTATCTCAATGAGTCAAATTTTTGTCAAATTTATTTTATCCTGTTCATACATTGTGTATTTACAGTCTTAAGAGATAAGACTGTAGAATAATTCAACAAATGCACAGAATTTCTTTCATAGATCAATGTAGCTGGTTTTTACATACTTTTTGCTGTTATTTCATGTGTTTTACTCTTAATCTCATTTGATACTTTCAGCTTTCCAATTTATTTGGTTATAAACATGATAAACAGCTAAATGAGTAGCAATAAATCTTCAAAATTCTCTTTTTGTACAGTTTAAAATTTGAGTATCTTACAGTTTTGTATTGCCTGCCACAATCATTCTGTCATAAGAAACAGACAAATGTTACAGATAAGAAAAAAAATGTTGTATAGAATTAATCTAATAGCTAGGGAAATCAGCTTTGAATAGCTTTAATAAATGTGCTAAAAAAAATTCTCTAGACTATAGGTGTTAAATAATTTTTAAACATATCTTTTAATAATCATGCAGTTATTTAAATCAATACAGTGCAATCTCATTTTCAATATTTTCATTTTGATTTTTTTCCTCAATATTTTGTATAATGTTGTGTTTTTCTATGTCAACTCTTAATTTTATTGACAATTATCGAAGCAAGTTTCAATTATTAAAACATTGAAATCTACAGAGGCAATCAATAAAAGTACATTTGACCTTGCAGTAGTGCAAATAGTCAAGAATTGGATCAGATAGTAACAGGTGCTTCCTAAGATAGTTTGCATGCTGAAATATACAACCTGTGACAAAAATAGACTATTTTAGCTGCATGTGCAGCATGCTATTTCCTGTTCAATGTTTATTAGTCAGGTGATGTTAAAACAATGAGTCTTCCAATCAGTATTCTTTGTTGCTTTAATTGACAGGTGCCAGAGTGAAATGAACAGCAAAACTCACCAGGGTAAAAGCAGGAACAAAAATTGCTTGCAGTACAGAAGAAACCAGCAAAGAAGAGAACCAATATTCTGATTTTGTAGGAAAAAAATAGAAATTAAGGTACTAAGGCATTGCTTTATCACCAGCAAAATGTAAGTTTATAATGCATCAAGTTGGAAATACTGTTTTATATTCTATTCTTTAGGGCTACATACCATTGAAGGTCAACACTTTCTGCTTTAAACAACTTTATAATAATCCTGCTTTTTGAATTTTGGGTACATAGTCCTTGCCTATCTGTGTATTCATATTTCCATATTAAAGTTTGTTCATACTTTGTATCATTAGTCCCTTTTGGGCTAAAGACTTGATATTACAGTACTAAATATGCATGAAAGAACTTATTCATAAAAAATAAATAATATGAGTGAATAATGTTACAGTCAATTAAAATATGCTGAAGTGAAAACCTCTAAAAAAAAGTTGCAATGTGGTCATTCAAATTAAGCTGCATAAATAAAAAAGTGGTCAAAATATACCTAATCGTAGTATTCTTACATTAATGGTTAGAAACTACAATTCATGCAAGGCTAATTTCAATAAAGCTTCATATGTTAGCATGCCATTTTTCCATGTGATGCATTTTCAGGTCCACTACCTTATCAACTTCCTGTTTACTGAATACTTTAACTGGGGTAACATTATGGGCCAATAGCTCACAGACCGTCTTGTTTTGATTTCTTTAATTTTCAGTTGTTTTATGCTTATACATTGAAACAAGTTGAATATGTATGAAGTACAATCCGAGAAAGAAAGAGACACAAAACATGGTCATAAAATACTGAAGTGCCAATTAATTGAAGTCTGAGATTCCAAATTTGTAAAAAAAAGTCCCAATACATGTACAATGCAAAATATTCTGTAGTAAAAATAGAGTGAATATGAGACTTGTACCTCTCTGTATAGCCGGTTGCATGTACCGTTTAATCACTAACTATGCATTTAATAAATTTTTAAGAGTATCAACACTCACACCATTGCGTGCAGTGTAGAATATAATACATTTCATTGTATACTATACTTCTTTGATGCATATTGTTCTTGATAAAAATCTCGTAATGAGATTATAATTTCAAAACATAAATGTTTGATATTATATTTCAAAATGATCTCATTATGATATTGTAACATAATGTAATGATTTGCACTTTTCAGAAGCAAATTTAGCACATGTTTTAGTAAATTTTAATTTGAAAAAGCTATCAGCTGTTCCTTCATATGGATCCCTCTTTGCTAAATTTGCACTTTTAAAAATATTGGGCAGAATTTACCTTTGTTTCAAATAAAGAAATACTTGACATGAGTAAAGTTT